AGAATGTCTGACACTCCAGTTTATATCTGTCAGCCAGAGCTCCCTGATTGGGGCTGTTAATCTGGTCCAATCAGGGGACTCATATTCTGTGATGTTCACCTGGCTGACCTGGTTACATTCACTACATCTAACTCTAAAGGAAGTAAGATATCAACATTAGTCCAGAATGCATCGGTACTTTTTGGTAATTAACTCTTGCTGCTGGTTGATTTCCAAAACGGACCCGAAAGGTGGAACTCTTAGCATCAAATATGCATAGACCAAGGAAAACTACATAATAAAGATTTACCGTTCATTTCAACTCCTTTGCTTACGATTTGAATGTTTGACTTGCACATTGCTTTGGTTTTGTTTTAATCCAAGATGACACAAACATCTGGACTTTCATGTTTTGAAAAAAAAAACCTTGACAGGCTAAAGTGTTGGCAGCTTTACTAAAGTAGACTTGCTGATTTTAACATTTCTGCAATGGCTTTTAGAGTCAAAGAACTTTCATGTGAAAGGTTTCAAAATCTTTCAGTTCTTTGCATGCGAAGTGGCTGATTAGCATATGTTTGGAAGTTTATGTTATCTGAAAGCACAGATTAGAGCTTTTTAAAAGTTAACAGTGGCTAAATGCTTACTGATTGTCCGATTACTCCAAACCTTAAACTAATAGTTTATTGTCATATAATGAAGAGAGTGAATGAAATCATTTAATTTTAAAAAGAAAGGTAATTTTTAAAAGAATTAATCTTGGTGTGATGCTTGGTGTGCATGCATTTGGATCAATATAAAATATTCAGTATGGAGTAACATTTGTGTTGGATTGCATGCACAGCTGTTATTTTACGTAATATGTGTATTGTGGTTCTGTTATTCTTGGAAGTGGTTGCAGTGCTGTGAAATCTCATGGGTATGGAATCCAGAAATATCTGTCATTACATTCTTCTAAAGATAGATGTGATGTCATGTGAAGCGAGGCATATTCCTCAGCAATTGCACTATCATGGCGAATGCTGTGTAATAACTCTCCAGGATAACCACAGGATATTGCGTTAGGATATATTATGCTTTGTGTTAGATTTACTTTCAAGAATTCACATTGTTTAAACATGGGTGATAGCAATTCCAGTAGGACTGTAAGGAGAAAGTTCCTTGCAGGGTCTTGCTTAGATATTGAGCTGATCTCTGAACCTAATAGTAATAAGTGCCTCAATGGTAAGTTATGTGGTAAAAATTTAAATTTTGTGGAATGGCTATGAACAATTATAGAGAATAAAATAAAAGAAATAAGAAAAAGAGGTAACTCTATAAAAGGATAGAGAAGGAACTTTATTTTATCACAAAGAAAACCCCAGATCGATCTTTTTGCAACTGATCCCCAAAATGATAAAGTAAGCCCATATTTGTCAGCCCACAACAAATCTATACGATGGGAAAATAACCCTTGGTACATAACCCTTACGTGGGGGTGGAACGTCTAGTCACTTACATTGTTGACGTCTTTTCTTCTGTGGTTTTCAGTGGTTGGCTGGACAGCTCTGGCTGCAGCACTGAACCCTAGAGGCTGAGTTAAGTCTAATTTCTGGCTCCATTCAAGCCTTATGGACCCTTATTTAAACTCCCCCAAAATTAAGGCCTGGCAACCAGAAGTCTTTTTCAACTTCTTATAGCAGACTTTTCAGAATTTCAGTTGTTTACACATTTGGTGTCTCTTGCACTTCATTCATTAAGTTATCCATCAAGCTGCTTCTCCACGTAATCAATTGCCCTATGTGTAAAGCTGTTTATTGTTCTGGTCAAGGATTATTGGGGTCACTGTCGTAGGAACAGTTCCTCTTTTTGAAATTATCAAACTCAACTTCATATGTGGCAGCAAATCTAGAGAAGTCAATAGTTCAGTCAAAGCTAAAGCTGTGAATGAGTGCCTGAGGTGGGGGGAGGACTCGAGTCTGCAGTTACTAATATTACTCCTGACCATATAATTGGATAATTATTTAACTTAATCAAAACATAATCACAAGTTTAAACCACTGTCTAAAAGGTAACAATTCAATATACGTTCTCTTTAAAAAAAAATCAAAAACAAATCAAAAATAATATGTAAGAGGAGAAAATTGCCAAAAAGAACTGCTTACTGTATGCCTCCATGAGCATGAAAAAGACTGATGAATTAAATGCAGATATAAATCTGGTTCTTTTATTTCAGATACATTTATTCACTCTTAGGCAATAATCCCATCTTCAGCCCTCCAGGGAATCGTAGAATAATAGATGCAGAAACAAACTATTCAGCCAATCAAGTCCGCAATGGCTCTTTGTAAGAGCAATCCTATCAGTCCAATGCTTTGGCTCCTTACTGTTTTTCTTTAATTGTTAATCTAATAATCTTTAAAAGTTACTGCTGAATCTGTTTTCACCACCCCATCAGGAATTGCTTTCCAAATCCTAACCACTCATTGTGCAAACAAAAATTCCACATGTAGCTTCAGGATCCTTTGCCAATCATCTGAAGTCTGCACCCTCTAGATAATGACATTTCAGCATTTGAAAGTTGTTTCTTCTTGTTTGTTCCATCCAACTCATTCATGATTTTAAGCACTTGTAACCAGTTTCCTCTCAGCCATTCCAATCTATCCACATTATTGTAATTCCTCATGTCTTTCAATCGTTATAATGAATCTCTCTGTACCCTCTCAAAAATACTCCAGGTTGGGCCAGAAAGTATCTTGTATCAGTATAACAGAATATCTTGGTCTCTTTTTTTACTGTATCCTTCCATTTGTGAGGCCAGGTTCCTATATGTTTCATGAACTGCCTTGTACACCTGTCTTGCCACCTTCAAAGGTTTATGCACCAATACCAGCAGTTATAGAGTTATACAGCATGGAAACAGACCGTTCGGTTCAATTTGTTTATGCCGACCAGATATCATAAACTGATCTAGTCCCATTTGCAATCATTTGGTCCATATCCCTCTAAACCCTTCCTATTCATTTGCCTATACAGATGCCTTTTGAATGTTGTAATTGTACCCACCTCCACCATCTCCTCTGGCAGTGTGTTCCATACATGGACCATCCTCTGCGTGAAAAAGTTGCCCCTCAGATCCTTTTTAAATCTTTCCCCTTTCACCTTAAATCTACACCCTCTAGTTTTGGACTCTCGTACCCAGGGAAAAAGATCTTTGCTATTCACCGTCTCCATGCCCCTCATGATCTTCTCTATATTCATGTATCAATTAAGCTTGCATTGTATTTGTCTTTCCTCATTCTATTCAAATAAATCACATAACACTTTTGTATATTGAATTTTATGTGCTCTAGATCTGCCCAGTTCACCAGACTCCGATATAGACATATACCTGGCATATATTCCCTTGAAACTTCATGCTACCTTTCTTGCTGTTATTAAATTTGCACATCTTGAGTCATTTGTGAATTTTCAAATTGTGTCCTGTCTGTGCAGGTCAAAGACATTAGTATATTTTGAATTAAAAAAATGGTCCTTGTACTGAGTCCTGGGAACACCAGTGCGAAAGCAGTAATGTGGAACAACTCTGTTTTCTAGCTGTCCGCTACTTTTGTATCCCTGCTGTTATTGCCCCTTTTATCCCATGGGCTTCAATTTTTGAACCAAGCCTATTGTGTGGTAGTTGAACAAACAGCCTTTAAAATTTCTTTTACACAACGTCAGCTGCACTGCCCTTATCTAAAGTTGTTGAAAAGTGATTTTCTTCCAACAAGTCCATGCTCTCTTTTATTTAGTCAGTGCTTGCCCAAATAGCATTTAATTTTCTCCTGGATTATGGTTGTAAAAGCCTCCCCACCATCAAATAACTGACCTGTAACTGCCAGGTTCATATTTCTCCTCTGTGTTGGTCGAGGGTGTAACATTTGCAATTCTCCAGTCCTCTGGCAACACCCCTGTATCTGAGGAAAATTGGAAGTTTGTGGTTAGCATCTCTGCAATTTCATTCCTTCCTTATATGAACAACTTTGTTGTGTTGACTCCTACTAGGTTATTCCATTACACTGTAGTCTCCATTGCATTACTCAAGTGACTTGGGTTTAAGTTAGCTCATGGGCTATGGACAGCTGGTTTGCAATGCAGAGTGATGCCAACAGAGTGGGTCCAGTTCCTATACTGGCTGAAGTTACCATGAAGGACTCTACTTCTCAACATCATCCCTCGCCTGAGGCAAAGTGACCCTCAAGTTAAACCACCGTTAGTCATTTCTCTGTCTAATGAGAGAGCAGTGCGATGGTCTGGTAAGGTTATGGCAACATACAGATTCAAGTGGCCATTGATCATGTGTGAGTCATTGACAGTGAGTCTCTAGCAACTGAAGGCATCGTCACAGTGACAATACGGTTGTCACTTTGCATCTACACATGTCACCAGCAGGATTAACTCAATTGTAATCAGGCAACCTGGCCAATTTTCCATTCCCTAACTTAAAGGTACCTAGGCCAATTACTACATTACTGTCACTTTTTCAGATTTGACTAACTCAGCAGTTTAATGATCAAGCCTGGCACCTCCCTGCTCTACTCACCAGCTAAATGTACTCATATTCTGCCTTAGTGCTGAATTGAAGAGGTGAGTGAAGGAATACTAAGGGCAAAACAAATGGTTTTGCTGAGAGAAAGAGAAAACATCTACTATGAAATGCAATCCTGTGATTGCATTTTGAGTTTTTTAAAATAATTATGTGATCGTGAAAGATGTGTTAACAGGAGGAGAACATAAGGCCGCCTGAGCCTGCTAATGCCAGTTGATAAGATCATTGTTGATCTTTCCTTCAACACCCTGTTGCAGCCCTAGCCCTATAGTCTACGTTCTAGAATGGAAGTACTTTGGACAAATATTATACCCACATTGCAGGTAAATTTAGGACATTATAGGAGGTGAAGGTCAGGGTATGTAAGCAACTGTGTTAAAAAGAAATAACAGCTGTGTTATTTTGCTATGTCCTGTGGAGACAGTGCTCAATTTTTCTCCATTTGTTTCTTTAGCTGCTCTGGTATCGACATCATTCTCTCCTACCTCCATGAGTGCGTATAGTCTGAGTTCCCTGAATATGGGAACGCTACCTCGCAACTTGTATCCAACAAGCCCACGAGGAACACTGATGAGAAGAAAAATGAAGAAGAAAGATTACAAGAGCTCTTGTACGTGGCCGGTTTCAATGTTAAAAATTGCTGATGAATCATAGGGGGAAACATATTGTGCAGAGAAAAATATGTCAGTGTTCAGTTGATGAAGTTTCAACTTTTAGCCTTTAATGTAATTTGAATTTATTTCTTGCGGGTTATTGATTGTTCAACCAACTATCAGGAACAATTTAACATAAAACCTAAACAGGCAAGAAATAAATCTGTCAAAAATGCTTGCACTGTCTTCAGTGATTTACTGTGCTGCTACCTGTGTATCTCGGAGATGTGTCAGTGAGACTAATTTTTATTTTTACTTTTATAGCCATTTTGGGTTATACTTGGAAAAGATTTACTAGCCATTTGATTAACTTCTCTACAAGAAGTTAAACAAAAACATCTAGAATAGAGACAGAAAAAACTGCAGATGCTGGAATCCAAGGTAGACAAACAAGAGGTTGGAAGAACACAGCAGGCCAGGCAGCATCTGAAGGAAAGTAGCAGTCAGCGTTTTGGGTATTACCCTTCTTCAGGACAAACAGTTCAGATGCTGCCTGGCTTGCTGTGTTCTTCCAGCCTCCTGTTTGTCTACCTTGGATTGGGTTGATCAGCTTCAATCCAGTAATGCACTGTTTTTGAAGCATCAGAAAAAATACCCCAGTAAAAACTGAGAGTCATGAATTGTAGAATGGGAATGTGTTAAGATCTTGCTCGGTTGGAAGATGAAGCCCAACTGGTTGGGCTAGATGGTCTGTTTCTGTGTTTTACCTTCTTTGTAGAAATTCACCCTTCGAATGCAGTAGATATTTTGTGACTCAAGTGTTTCTTTTACCAGTTACATTGGTAGATGCAGCACATTATCTATCAAACTTGTGAAGACAATGACTAACTTAGAGGCACAGTGTGAGTGGAATTCTGTTCTGTTCAGTGACCTGAAAGTGATGCTTCCCCAATGTCCATCTCTTACAGTGTCTTTAGCCTCCAGTACGGTTGGTCCTGCAGGGCAGATTGTCCACAGTGAGACAGCAGAAGTAGTCCTGACCAGTGACCCGATCGTAGGGTTTGGAATTCAGCTCCAGGGTGGTGTCTTTGCCACAGAGACCTTGTCTTCTCCACCACTGATTGCATATATTGAACCTGACAGCCCAGCAGAAAGGTGAGAGCCTTCCAAGTTCTGTGCTTCAGTGTTTGCTGCAGGCATTCTTCTCTGCTTGAAAGGCCATTACTGAGCAAAGTTATCAAATTAAGGAGTCTTCTGTGTTTTACAGCTAAATGTTAATAATTGACAGCAAATGCTAGGATGTGTGCTTTTTATTTCTTCACATACATTTCAAAACAAGAAGTAACAGTTGCTTTGTTTTTGACAAACGATTAAAGAATATTTGACAATATTCTTCAGGTGTGATTCTCTTAAATCTACCATGTTTTAATGTTTTTTTAAAAATGGCATTTTTTCATGTATTTCTGATGGTTTAAATTCAACTGTTTATCTCCACAGTATTTTGCTTTGTTTTTTCAAAAAGAAAAATACTTCACTGTATAAAGTTTCAGATATTCCATCTGCAGCAGTCCTCATGGGATCAAGTAAAATAAGATTTCTCCTGCAGTCCCGAAGCAACAAAAAAGGCAGTGATTTTTTTTTTTATTTGGAAAGTAAATGCATTTATCGTCTTTTATGTTGTCTCTCTCTGTTCAGCTTTCTTGGGCTGAAATGTGTGACAAAGGCATGATTTATTAATACTTAAAATATTTGTCTTGCTTAAGAATGCTTGCTGCATTTACATGCAGTAGGCTCAATTAAAAATAATGGCCAGGATAAACTCCTTATTCATAACAGCTAACATGGAAGAATATCTTATTATTCCTTCAAATTTCCCTTTTTTTTTCCCTCCTACATAGGTTTACATTACGTAAATAGGAGTAGAATTAGTCCACATGACCCCAAAAGCCTGTAGGACCTCAATTTCACTTTCCACCTGCTCCCCATATCCCATGATTCTCATATCCCTTGATTCCATGTAATCTCCAAAAATTTGTTGTGTTCAATCTTGAATATATTAAATGACTGAGCGTTCACAGACCTCTGTGGTAGAGAATTCCAATGATTTATAACCTTCTGAGTGAAGAAGTATCTCATCTCAATCCTAAAATGCCAACCACTTATCCCTCAACAATAAGCCTTTGTGTTAGACTCTTCCACCGGGGAACGTCTTAGCATTTACCTTCTCAAAGACTCTGAGGAATTTTAAGAATTTATGTACTTCAAACACAATCTCCATTTGTCATTCTCCACTTGGAAGGGCAAGACAGTTTGGGCATAGCATTCTCCCAAAATGTTGTTTACGCTCCTCAGAGGAGTGCTTCAAATGGATTAATCATGGTTTTGTTTTCATCCTCAAAATAAAATGTTTCCTGAATTTATTTTAAGCTGGCTGACAAATCTGAGGAAGCCTGCTGAAATCAAGTTGATAGATTTGCATTAACGTAGCTGTTGTTGTGTTGCGTTAAGACTATATGCTCACCTCACTAGGATTGAGCTATCTTTATTTGTACCTTCCTAGAAGAACAAAGAAGACAGTAGTACGATATACTACAGTAACTTCCAGACACAATTACCTACGTAAAGGTACAGTGTAGAACTCTGTACCATTCACATTTTATGAGATTGCCCTAACACAAGTGACACTGCAGAAACTTGTATAAATGTCAAATTTTTGACAACAATCCTTTTAGCCAGCAAACTATAGGGGCAATGTTTGAATGGGGAATGTTTTCAGAGTTGATCTGCGTGCTTATTTGTGCTCAAGTGCCATCCAAAGCAAAACATCAATATAGAATAAAATGAAAACCAACAACAAAATAAGTTCTTATTAATCATCGTTTATGATCTGATCACTTTAATAATTTAGATAAAATAAAAATTAAACTTATACATATTTTTACTATCTCTTAACTGGTACTCATTTCCATGATTACTAATGCATTTACAATGAATCTCATCAGTACAGGTCTGGGAGTATAGTTTGGTTCTGAAATTTTTGCACCTTGACCCCTGAAAAGCTGCAGTAAACTTCAAAATGAGGTATACGATAAATTATAGCTTTTAGTCCAAAAGTCATGGATTGAATTTTGCATGAGCTCAATTGTTGATGTATGTGTATATATAGTATATATTTTCCAAAAGTGATATTTAACTGTGAATTTTCTACTATCTTAATTAGTGTCAACTAGTTATGCAGTATCCAATAAAGATGATTATATCATGAAGTCAGGTTTTCAGCATTATTCAGCAATTGTGCTCTGTTAAATCTGTAATCTATGGTGCAGCTATTACAGATATTTAGGTGGCAGCCAAGTAACACATTACAATCCGATTGTAATTGGAGATCCACCTGGACAAAAAAAGTTTGTACCCAGAAGCTATTTATATTGACAGCATTGATAAGTCATCTTTAAAATCTCTTCTTTCACTGTTGCTCCTTATCCTCAAATGCTTAACCACAACAGGGAATTTGTTTTAAATTCTATTACCTTTTTAATCATCCTCCATCTCCCACGATCCACAGTGTCTTCACCTCGAGGTCAAACCAATACCCACATAGAAGAATTGGAAACTGTGAATCAGATGTATCTATATTTGTCACAGTTTCTCCTTCTCCAAGTAATTCATGGCATTTGTTCTGGAACTTCTGTAACCCAAAAAATATTATTTTTATTGTCGAATTATTTGGTAAATTTCAGAAGTAACTTACAATCTATGTTGGAACTGACTTTAGTTATGAATGTTTATCATTTTTTAAGTTATTTTACATTAATAATTTTGGCAATTTGGTCTTCCCTTGGACAGGGTGAAATTATTACTGCCCAGATTATGTGACTTTTAGATAAGAGTGAGGTCTTCTTTCTCATTCTGTTTATTGGTATTCAAGGTTAGCTTGATGAGTTGGCAGCAGTTTCCTTTTTGCTTTATGCATTGGTCCCGTCCTTGAATAGAGTTTTCAGCTGGAGACCCTAGTTTCAGTAGAACTAGTTGATGCCTCCAACAAACGAAAGAAGGAAAATCATTTCCTTTGGATACCGATTCAGTTCTAATATCTAGTTTGACAAATGTTACTGAGGAAAAAGGCCTGATGGGCAGTATGATTCTCCATTGAGTCAGTTTGGTTTGGCTTGGTCACTGAGATAAGGAAGAAGTTCTTCAGCCAGAGGGAGGTGAATCTGTGGAACTCATTGCCATCGAAGGCCAAATCATTGTGTGTATTTAAGACAGATATAAATAGGTTCTTGATTGATAAGAGGATCAAGGGTTATGGGGATAACTCAGGAGAATGGGGTTGGGAAACATATCAGCCATGATCAAATGGTGGAACAAACTTGATGGGCCAAATAGTCTAAGTCTGCTCCAATTTCTTATGATGTTGTAGTTTCTAAATGAAGCATTAGCCACTTGTGGCATTTCTTGCCCAAGTTCACTCCAGACATCTAAGGAATAGCTTTTTCCAGAGAAGTTGAATCATGTAGGACGGAAACACAGCACTAACTGCAGATTCTGTATTTTCAGTAGAACCATTCCATTGAAGAGTATAGAAATTTGTTATAGTTTAGTTAGATTATAAGACCACTGGGATATAGGTTGTATCAAGAATATTTATTAAACTTTCCAGATAAATCTGAAACTCTTTTATATTAACCCCTTACCAAGCTCCCAACTCAAAGGCAAGAAGTTATGCTAAGTCTGCAGTCAAACACTGCTCCAGCTCACAGTGAAGTACTTTGTCCAATCCTGGACACTACACTTCAGGAAGCATGCGGTGACTTTGGAGAGAATACAGAAGAAGTTTATTAGAATAGTTTCAAGATGAGAGATTAGTTTGATCAACTGGAGAGGCTGAGGTTGTTCTCTTTAAAAGCAGGAAAGCTAGGAGAAATTTTATGAAGATAAAATAATTTAGAATTTGATGTTTTAGTAAAGATCTGTAGCTCGGGTTGTGGCTGGAGTTGTTGGTTGCGCCGAGCTGACTGGTTTTGGTGCTGACATTTCATCCCTCTTCTTAGTCACATCTTCAGTCCTGTCTAGCCCCCTTTGAAGCCCTGTTGTTCTGTTCCAAATTTATATGGTTTGGTCTGTTATGGTGGGTAGTTCTGTTTCTGGTTTTGCTCCTGAGTAGTATGTAGATGGGGTCTATTTTAACATGTTTGTTTATGGTTCCAGTGGTTGAAAACCAGGCTTTCAGGAATTCTTGTGCTTGTCTTTGTTTTGCTTGTCCTAGTACTGTTACGTTGTCCCAGTTAAACTGATCTCCTTCTTTGTCAAAGTGAATAGAAACAAGGGAGAGTTGTTCGTGCCGTTTTGCTGTGAGTTGGTGTTTGTGTATCCTGGTGGTGAGTTTCCTGCCGGTCTGTCCTATGTATTGTTTCTCGCAGTCGCTGTGTGGTATTTTGTATATCATATTTGTCCTGCTCATTGTGGGTATGGGGTCTTCCATCTTTGAGAGTAGCTGGCGAAGTGTGACTGTTGGTTTGTGCGCTATCATTATTCCAAGAGATGATAGGAGTCTTGTAGTCAGTTCCGGAACTGTCTTGTGTTAGCAGCTGCACAGCTACTCTGCATGTGTAGGCTAAATGTCCACTACTTACTGTGATATATTATATAGTACATGCTGAGTTATATGTCTAATTCAAATTACATTGCACCCTTGGTAAGAAAGCACTTAATTCTTTATATTCAGGAAAAAAGAGTCATGGTAAAAATAAATTGTTCACTCTTCTGAGTGGGGCAAACTAATCCCTATGTTGGAATGCCATATGATTAATATTGTGCCTTGGACCTTTTCTTAATAAAGAGTTCAATGACACATTGGAGATGGATACCGGCAATGGCTCTTGTGAATGTCCTGTGGTTGGGAAGGTCTGTAACGTTGGGCCTGCAACGTTGCTTTGGATTCAGATGATGCAGTGATGCACCTCTTACTGATGTTCATTATGAGACTTTGTATGTTTTAACAGGTCATGCTAAATGCTGAGGAAGGGTCACTTGACCTGAAATGTTAACTCTGGTTTCTCTCCACCACTGCTGCCTGACGTGCAGAGCTTATTTATTTTTGCTAAGGCAGGGCATTTGTAAGACCACTATGAGCCGTTCTGACCTCTGTACTTGAGGAGGGACATACTTTCTTTAAGAGCCGGTCCACTAGAATGACACCAGAGAAGATGAGATTGTAAGGAATGTTTCAGCAAGTTGCGCCTTTGGTTGTTGGAGTTCAGAAGAATGAGGGATGATCTTATTGAAACAAATAAGATTGAAGTAGTTCAACAGGATAGATGCTGAGACAAGTTTCCCATCATAGGTAAATCTGGAACTAGAGGGTGCAGCTTAAAATTAAGGTCGCCATTTAAGACTCCAATGAGGAGGAATTTTTCCCCTTAGAGGACAGTCAGTCTTTGGGATTTTCTTTCATGAGAGCCTAAGGAGGCTGGTCTTTCCAGTGATCCCCAAATCTCATGCAAGAATTTTTAAAAATAAGCAGTTGCTAACTCTTCCCCAACCAATAGCATATCAAGGGGGCCTAGTACCTGTTTTAAACTGATGACGTGCATATGCTGAGAGCACCGAAGCCAATGTGACATTGGACAGGTTTAAATGTTATTTTGAGCTGGGACGGCTCACCTGAAAAATGGTGTAATCCTCACAACCCTGCTCCCAGCTCAGTCATAGTTAAATTGCAGCCACAAGGACAGAATGGACTTCTATATTTAACTCGTCATGGTTTTAACTGGTTCAATGGAATTTTTTGCTCGAGGTAGCAGCTTGAATTCTGTGTGCTACTGCTGTTCAACAGATTTATGTCTTGCACAAAGTATAGGGCACAAGTTCATTAATAGAAAGTAACAGGTGGCAAGGGTTGTTACCAGGATTCAGGTGTCACACACGCTCAAAGCTCTGTCTCTTTCTCTTCCTGAAGCGCATGTGACAGACGGTGTTTTTGTCCGTGTGTTTGGCAGGTGTGGATTGCTGCAGGTTGGAGACAGAATTCTGACAATCAATGGAATCCCTACTGAAGAAAGCACTCTGGAGGAAACCAATCAGCTCCTTCGGGACTGTGCAGGCACCAGCAAAGTCACCCTCGAAATAGAGTTTGACGTCGCAGGTAAATCTGGAGGGCAGGTGTCATTTACTTTGAGGCATCATGTGAATTATTTAGGAGATGTGGTTCTCTTCCAGTTTAAAAAAAAGTAGGAAAGGGAATAGTTTTTCATAAAGGAATTACTGTTGGATCCCTTACAAAAGGAGAGTATTGTTATCTGAAATGATTTAATTTTTAAGCTTGTTTCTTCCATACCTGCATTACTGATGATGGATGCTGTATTGTGACAGGAAATCAGCAAAACAGGGAAGACATTATTCATGGGAGGAATTCAGACTCAGCTGTCATCAAATTGAGTAATACGACTTGCTATACTCCCATTTGGTAGCAGAAGTGACATTGTATGCTTGATTTTCTGTCCAATCTAATACATGTCACAGAATCATAGAACATTGCAGCACTGAAGCAGCCCATTCTGCACCAGTTTTATTTCATCAGTGTCTTAACAACATCAAAACATTCCTTGGGAACTGACACCTTCTGAGTGATTTTTGTCGAGAAATTTTAAATGGGAAATTTGTGTGTCATCTTAACACGTAATGCACAATAAAGACAAAATAAGGATCTAAAGTATCCCACAACTTTTGAAATAGTACTGAACACCAACAATGTACCCATAGTGGAAAACAAACAAGATATGTAATTGACAGTGAGCACATTTCAAAGGGTTAAAATCAATTCAGTGAAAATTGATTGTGGATTTTTTTTTGCTATCAGTGTACAGACTTTTAATGTGTTTCATAAGGTGCTCCTCTGCAGCAACTTTAAGCAAAGGTATTGATCCAGTTATTTTAACATTATCTATTGAATAGTGGTTGGATGAATATATTGTAGTTTAGAATGGATTGCTCCTCATAGCTAAAACTTGAATTTGTCCATCATTTGGAGTGGAACATCCCAAACTGTTTCTCAGAAGAGTATAAGAAAACAGGAATAGAACCAGGAAGAGAAACTTTAAAGATGAGATTGACTGAAGGTTTGGTTATGGTAGGGGAGAAATGTCAAAGAGTGGCCTCAAGAAGTCCAATCAATCTTTATTCAAGCTTTTTACCACATATGCAGGTCAGGCCAGAAACTGCTCTCAATCTGGCTTTCACATGGGGCACAGATGCCCTCTTAAGTACTGATCAGAAGAGAGGTCAGTGATGCTCTGATTTCACCGATGGGATACAGCATTTTCATCCATTTTGCATTACAATAATTACATGCAACATTATCAGTGTTCCTTTCCCCATAATCTATATATCCAAACCTGTGAAACACCTGACCAAGGATGGACACCCCTATGGAAGCCCTAGGTTCCCTCTGACCTCATGATGTTTACTGGACATCATATCATCAGGCTTGGGACCTTACAATGTATCCTATTAACTTTACTGTCCTTCAGACATTTCCCAGACTTGCTTATCTCTAAGGACTGCTCGAATTCTGTAATTCATTGTATTTATTGCTATCCATATCAAATTCTGTTACTCCGATTTCCTACTGTACTAATCACAAGTGATACAAAAAGAGGTTAGTTCTTACTAATTGCTATAAGATTCATAATATTAGTTTTAATATAAAGTTAGTTATATGTAAAGTTTTATTGTTACACCTATTGTTAGCATTCTTTAGCTAATGAGTTGTGAGCAGTTTCTTTCTGCCCAGGTTATGCTTGCCTATCACTTAAGGACCTTTTAAGTTCAGTGATAAAGTTTACTATCCTCATTATTAGACACAGAAAAGGATTTTAATTTTTACTAATTGTTATAAAGGTTGTATTATCAGTTCCAGTAAAGCTATATGGTTATACCTAGTTAAAATTCTTCCATTAATAAGCCTTATTACTTGTCTCTGTTGTTGTGGGATCATACTTTTTCTTTTTCATTAATGTTTGCTACAAACTTTAGGCTGTCTGTTCTTGCACATCTTTTATCAGTCTGTTTTCCACAGACATTTGCAGCTGTTGTTTTTATAGAACTCCCTGTATATTCATTTGTAAGATTCTTTGTTCAAAGTAGAACCTGTTACCTTGGGATAACTCCTTCTCAAAACTACTATTGTGCTAATTTATGACCTCACTTTAATGCTGGATCAGGCAAGCTAATTCTGGAACTGCAGCCATACTTATGCCAATAGTTGACTATATTGGGCCACCTCTGGTCAGGAACCATCCCAACAGTTAGAGAGCGGGAGGGTTTTTTAAACATAGATAGGTATGGCGAAAGAGTTTCAGAGTCTAGGATTGAACAGCTGAAGATGATACCATGTGGTGGGATAAAAAGGGGAAACAACCAAAGGCCTAGAATAAAGTAGAAGAACAAAATACTTGTGAAGTGTTGTAAGGTTTGAGAAACTTGCAGAGAGATGTGCTACAACCAAGTCTTGGACGGACTTGGAAGGACAAGTGAATTTGATGAGTTTGCGGCTGATTTAGCTTAACTTCATTTGGGACATTCCCAGTAGACAAGCTTTGGAGTTTATGAAAGGAGGAGGATAGGACGCCAAGAAGAAAAGCATTGGAATGGTGAATTCAGGAAGCAGTACAAGTATAGAGGGAATAGTGGTGGTGGGCAAGGTCATTTCAGAGAAAGCCAGCAACAGATACTAGTGACAGATAAGAAATCAGCTTTAAAATATTGTTCATTGTGTCAAATAGAAAGGCAAAGTTGCAAGTGATCAGCCTAAGAGGCAGCAAATATATATTGTACACCCTTAAATGAAACACATCAAATGTGTGGTTTTAATTGGTGCCACTCAATAAGTCAGATTAAACACTAAAAATTGTTTAAAAATATCTGCATTGAGCTTTTTGAACTTCCATATTTCCCTTGTACAGAATCAGTTGTACCAAGCAGTGGCACATTTCATGTGAAGCTACCAAAGAGGAGTGGTGTGGAACTCGGCATCACCATCAGCTGTGAGTACTTGTGTGAACCATCATATCGAACAAGAATTCCTTACAAACAATGCAATGCATTACAATTTATGCTTTACTGTTCTGAACACTAAAATTGTTCATATGCCACTTATAAGGCCGGTAATCCTGATGATGTGCACTGTTACAGAATGATCGTTGCAAACAAACAGTATTTTTGAAAATGTGACTTGGCACGGATAAATTAAAGTTGATCTCCTGCAAGTTTGGCTGTCAGATTGCTACATTTAGTTTCTGTGACTCTAGGTTTAGGACTCCTGGAAGCACTGTGAAGTGACTAATTTTGGGAAGCATTTGGATTTATGGACATTAGTTGAAATTGGCAAAATCTGAGCTGTGATGTCTGTTATTGAACAGCTTGCCAATGTTTATTGGGGAAAGAAGGCTTCTGCAATATGTGTAACAGAATTGTCAATGAATTTTTGAAAAACATTTTTCAATTTTGCCACGTAGGGCACTGAAAAATCGATGCCCCTGTCTAAGTTCACTTACAGAGGATGCAGTCTTCCAGAAATTGCATGCGCTTTGAGCAAAAGGTATAAAACATACTTAGAGAGCTAACATCGGAAAGTGCCTTGGAAAAAGATTATGTAGCTTTCAGAAAAACCGTAATGTGCTTTTTCAGCTCTTCATTCTCTCGTTTATATTGGTTATGTTGAAGTCTTCTCTGATTGTTTTTGCTGATTTTAATTTCTTTGTGATGGTTCACTGGTTCTTCATTATCACTGCTGCACAAATAAAACTATTGTTGTTATCGAATGCTCTGTTAACTTGCATGTAGCTGCACATGGATTAGCTTTCACAAGAGGCAAAACACTGTAATTCAATGTTAACTTCAAAGCTGGTGAATGTATATTTACCTCTAAAACATAGTTCCATAAAATACTTGGATTTATTGCCATTTTATTTAAATGAATCCATTATAACATTGTTTTTCCAATATTCACCTAGTGGTTTTCCAGTACAGAGCCCAAGTTGCTGAAATCAAAGACATACTATCGAAGCTTTTGTCTTACATTTTCCAGGCTAGATGCAGGAATACAAATTTTTAAGTGGAACAGCAATTTGTACTGCATTAGAAATGGGGTGTTGGTTGGAAAGTGGACTCAGTTTCAGGTGTTGCCATGGTGAATATACCAGGGAAGAGTTATCGCACATCTTTAAATTCAAAAAGGCAAGTCCATGTTGATTGGATGAGACATGCCATAGGGAATCCAGCAGCCATTTGTGACCCCTCCCGAACATCAAGTTTTTATTGAATTGAAAAGACACAGTGAAAAGATGTTCATTTTCCCTGCAGAGGACCTTTTTGATTTTGATTTGATTTGTTTTGATTTGATTTGATTTATTATTGTCATATGTACTGAGATACAGTGAAAAGTATTGTATTGTGTGCTAACCAGACAAATCACAGCTTACATAAGTACATCAGGGTAATAGAGCAGAATGCAGAATAAAGTGTTACAGCTACAGCGAAGGTGTAGAGAAAGATCAACTCTCATATATGAGAGGTCTGTTCATAAGTCTGATAACGGCAGGGAAGAAGATGTTCTTAAATTTGTTGGTACATGTTTACAAACTTTTGTGTCTTCTGCCTGATGGAAGAGAGTATAACCGGGGTGGGAGGGGCCTTTGATTATGTTGGCTGCTTTCCTGAGACATAGAGAAGTGTAGACAGAGTTAATGGAAGCAGTGCTGGTTTTCATGATCGATTTGGGCTGCATTCACAACTCTCTGTAATTTTTTGCAGTGCAGTGCAGAGCAGTTGCCATATCAAGATAGGATATTTTCTATGGTGCATCTATAAAAATTGGTAAGAGTCATTGCAGACATGCCAAGTTTCCTGAGCTTTTTGAGGGAGTAGAGGCATTGGTGTGGTTTCTTGACCATAGCGTTAACGTGGATAGACCAGGACAAATTGTTGGTGATCATCACTCCCAGAAACTTGAAGATCTCAACCACCTCCACCTTAGCAGCATTGATACAGACAAAGGCATGTGTTTCACTCCACTTTCTGAAGTTGATGACCAGTTCCTTTGTTTTGCTGACATTGAAGGAAGCGCTTGCTCTCTTTCCACCAAGCTGCTAAGCTGTGTGCCTCCTTCCTTAACTCTATCTAGTCAGTGTTTGGGATGCGACCCACTGTGATGGTGTCATCAATTTAGGCACACGGACGTGAGTGTGTAAGGAGTACAGTAAGGGGCTGAGTACGTAGCCTTACAGGGTACCAGTGTTGCGGATTATTGTTGAGGAGGTGTTGTCACCTATCTTCTTCACACTGCAATCACTAGAAGATTCAGTTGCAGAGGGGGGAGCAGTGTCCTAGGTCTCAACGTTTGGAGATGAGTTTTGTTGGAATTATGGTGTTGAAGGCGGAGCTAAAGTCAATAGAAAAATGTAGTGTAACATAGGTGTCCTTGTTATCCAGATGATTCAGAGTTGAGTGTAGAACCACAGAGCGAGTATCTGCTGTAGACCTATTGTGACAATAGATGAATTGTAGTGGATCAAAACCATGTGGAAGGCTGGAGTTGATGTGTGCCATTACTAACCCCTTGAAGCACTTCATAATGATGGATGTCATTAAGGCATGTTGCCTGATTTTTCTTTGGCGCTGGGATGATAGTGGTCTTCTGGAAGCAGGTGGGATCCTCACACCGTAGTAAGGGGAGGTTAAAGATGTCTGCAAATACTTCCTCCAGCTGGTCCATGCAGGGCCTGAGTACACGGCCAGGGACTCCATCCAGGCCAGTTGCTTTCCATGGGTTCACCCTCAAGAAGGCCGATTGGACGTCTGAAGCAGTGTCTTTGGGTATAGGTACACAAGGCTGTCAGGGCAAGTGACATTATTTCACTGACTTTCTGTTCAAAATATGCATAGAATGCATTGAGCTCACTGGGGAGGAATGCATTATTGTCAGCAATTCTACTTGACTTCCTTTTGTATTCCATTACATCACATAAGCCTCACCACAGTTGATATGTGTTCATGAGGTTAGTCTGGGACACTATTCTGGAAAAGTCTGTTAGTGTTCCTGATGGACCTGGCCCCGTGTATAAATATGTTGTTTCTAGCAAACATAAGTGAACCATTGCGAGCTTAGCTGATGATCCTAAATTAAATGCTGGTGTAATTTTGGCACACTTCAAGTCATTCACTAAGTACTGACCAATCATGGGATCCCACTAACAGTAGCTTTAGAGTATTTGTTATATGACGCATCCTGTTTCTCAACAATATAAACTCTGTTCCCTTTAAAATTTGGTATTCTTGCATCTGTCCTGATAGGTACAAGTAACAAGTTTCAGGATTTTTTTTTATTTTGGCAATGTGCACTACCTGTTCAAAACCAGACATATCTCTAAAATCTCCCATTCCCATACATTTTATAAATGTCTGCGATGATATTTCTAATTGTTGCCATCAGTATCACAATACTGAGAGGAGATTCCCTTCCATGAAGTAAGACTTGTTAAAATAGATATGACTGCCATACCCTTAGTGCCTCCTCTCTGAACATCATCTAGTGCAATTATTTAAGGAGACCAAAAATTTACACAGTACCTCAGATGTAGTCTTACCAATAGCCTGTATAACTGCAGCAAAATAATCTCTAGTTTTATATTCCACTCCCCTTGAAGTAGATTGCAAATTTATTTTCCTTCCTAATTGTTATACCTGCATGCTAGCTTTTAAGTAATTCATGCATCAGAGCAAATAGATTGCCATGTACCTCAGAGTTCTGCAATCTGTCTCCATTTAAATAAAATCCTGCTTTTCTAATTTTTCTGATTTTCTGATTTGGAATACCTCTTTCAAATCTCCTCAACCCTCTCTTGAAGGAGGACATCCCCAGCTTCTCCAAACTATGCAAATTAAGTTTCTGATCTCTGAACCATTCTTGTGAATCTTTTCTGCACCTTTCATGTTCCTTCCTCAACCAATATACTGGATGCACTTGTCCAATTGCAGCTGAATCAATGTTCTGTACAAGTTTATAATAATGTCCTCTCATCAAATTTGTCAAACCACATTTTCCTGTGTCTAAAATTCTACTTTTGGAATATGGCTGATAGCTTTGGAAGGTGGTCTGAGAATGTTGTCCTATTATGAACTATGGTAGCATCAAATGTGTAAGTGTCTGAGCCTAAAGAAGGGAAAATCGGAGAACTTTGGCTCATTTTAAAACTGTAGAACTAAATGAAAACTGAAAAATGATTAAAGCAGATTCCAGAATTACCCACTAATTTTGAAATGCGGGAACATAATTTAGTATCTTTCAAGCACAACCACAGAGGAATGAACTGTTGTAAGAATTTAACATTAACTCTTATTACGCCATTGAGCCCCACATGAAACAATAGTTGACTAACCTACAGTTTTTCTCTGTGGGGAGCATCTAATTAAGGTTGTTGATTTGCTCACCGAGCTGGCTGGTTATAGTTCAGACGTTTCATCACCATGCTAGGTAACATCATCAGTGCTGCCTCTGATGAAGCGATGTTGTTCTACTGCACTTAGTATTTATATGATCCGGTCTGTTGAGGTGTTTTGTGTCACTTCCGGTTCTTTTTTGCAAGGGTTTGTATATGAAGTATAATTTCTTCACCAACCAACTGAACTCTACCCGCGAACGTCTTCATTCCCTCCACGAATGCCTCAGGAACGAGGTACTGCCCCGCAGCGTAAAGTTAAAACCTCCACTCAACAACCCATAGGCACACAAAATAACTGAACAAAATGGACGCAGAATGCTTCAGGTAATGATTAACAATGCCCATAACCGGCTTCACAAGTACGAGCGAGAAATTTCGTGCCAAAAATCATTATACCAAAACGCTACCGACCAGCAATGGACTACAACCCTAAAACAGGCCATCACCACCAAACAACACAGGACCAGAACTAAGAAGAGAGATGAATTATAGGAGAAGCTAACCAAACTAATTGGCCACAAAGTCAAGGACAACAGCATACCAGA